AAAAAAAAAAAAAAAATCCGAAAAACACAGGATGGTAGCACACACCTACCTGAGTCGGCACCGAAAATGGCAAGACATGTCCACTGTTATTTTCAAACACAAGTTCTCTCTGGCTTGAGAGACCTCACTGCTACCCAGGAGCATTATGGAGGAAGACGAGGAAGGGCCAATGAACAAAGGCTGCCTCTCTCAGTTGGTGGGTTGGCTGGGGGCGTGATGGCAGCGACCAGCCATGCTGCCAGGAGTCACCTCCCAGGTTCTTCCCAGGAGCTGCATGCTGACCCTTGGGCGCTGCCTCCAGGCCACCCCTCCTCCCCACTAAATGTCTTCACTGCCGGCTCTGGTGGCGTTCCTGCCAGCCTGCAGGAAGCGGCTGTTTGCTAGGAAGATATCGCCAATGTCCAGGTACATCTTTTCCAAGCTGGATGTCTGGAACTGGGACCCTGTTTCTTCTTCTGTTGTGGGGGTTTTGAGGCTAGTCAGACGCATGGTGATTCATCACGACCCAGGTTCTGTTGACACAAAGGCTGGCCTGTCTAGAGCCACATGGCCCTGCTGTAGACGCTGCAGAGCAGCTCAAGAGAGGAACAGGACCAGGAGGGCCGCACTGCTCTTGGCCGGCTCGGACCCTAGCACTGGTTCTGCTGCTCTCCCAGGCAGCTCAGCCAGGTGAACGAAAGTCTTGGGCCTGCCCTCCACAGGATGTTTATAAGGTCTCAGAAGCTGGATCTGCCTGGCAAGGGGGGCCCTGTCTGCCTAGCCACCCAGATGCAGGCACCTGGCCCTTTTGTGCACTGGAGGGGTGAGAGCTGCGTCAGGCATGCAGGACTCATGCTGTCCCCTGACTCCACCCCTGCACACTGAGATTCTGAACAAGATGTGCCTAGACACTGCTCAACGCCACGTGGCCTGGGGCACACAGCTCAGGGCCAGGTTAGGGGGCAGCTGCCTGCCATCTGCCCTGATTGTGCCTTTGACTGAACACACAAGGGCCAGGGGTCGACTCAAGGTCTGTACATCCCTGCCCACAGCTCTTCACGGCCTGTAGGTAAGACGCCGGCAGGCAGCGCCACTCGCCAACCTCATGCTGGCACGCACACCTGGGCCCTCATGTGGGATGCACGCCTTGTGGCTGTGGGACCTAGGGAGTTTTATAACTATAGTGATGATGCCAAAGATAACAGGGACATAAAAAGGGGAAGGGGCAGAGGCCCAGAACCCTCAGGGTGGGAGCTGAGGTGGGGCAGATGTGCCCAGTGGCATGGCTTTGGCAAGGCTGTCAAGGGCATGTAGGGAGACTTCAAGGCCAACTCCCACTCCACCTACCCTGCCGCTGTTGTGGGGATGTCAGAACCTGACACCTTCCCTCACTGTGACAGCCTATGATGAGTGCCCAGGGTGCAGCTCCCTCAGCACCTGCAGTCACTGCAGCCTAAACCCAGGACCCGTCCCCTCCCTGACACCTCAGTGATGTGAAAATCCCTCCCGGAGTGCCCCACGCATCCCGGTGGCTGGCTACGGGACACTCAAGGAGAAGCAGCAGGGCCCCCCTCTCCAAAGGTCCTGGCACCTGGTGGCCACCCTTGTCCAGCGGGGCCAGGTCAGTGCCCAAGTCGGGCGGTCTCCAAGCTTGGGCCAGGGGCTGCTTTCCCGGCCAGCACGGACATTCCCGTTTGGTGGAACCAACAGAGAATAGTGGTCACAGGACCCCTCGAGGACCCCGGGCCCCCCAGCAACCATGTTCCTCACAGTGGGGTTGGGAGGCGCGGTCTTGGGACCCCCTGCAGTGGGTGCGCAGGTCTCACTGACAAATCCAACACCCCCATCCCCAGGCCTTGGAAGCCCTCCTCGACCGTACCCCACGGCGGCTGGTCACATCCACTTAACCCAGTGCAGCCGCCCTCAGGCTGTAATCCAGCCCCCCACCCCCAACCCGGCGCCAGAGCCTTCCTGGCCCCAAGCTGCAGCGCCCAGTCCAGCCCTCCGTTTAGCAGGTCTGTTCCAGGAACTCCCCTAATCCACCCATGCTCTGGCCACCTGGATCCCACACCCTTCCGATCCATTCCACACATGTTCTCCAGATTTCTGCCTGTAAACCTGGAAATGCCACATAGTCCTGCAGGAGGTTGGCGCCCCTCTCAGGGTCACCCTCTGTACCTCACCCCGGGGGCCTGCTGGAATCGAGTCTAGTTCTAGGACTAGAAGCCTGGGTGGGGGTCCCAAGGAGCATTGGCAAGGCCTTGCAGGGCAACTGCCTCAAGGGAGGCCACCCCGGGCCTTCAGCTAGAGGAGCTCTTCCGGCAATCAGGGCAGATGCAGGCGTTTGTGGTCCCGGCTTCTCTGGATCTGCCCATGGGCCCCACTCCAATATTCAGGGTCATGGTTCTTTCCTAATCAACACTCACGTTTAGGAGGAGACGACTGGCCAGGCTGGGCCCGGCTGCCTGCAGCGTGAGGCTCTGGCTGCTAAGTCCTGTTCTTGCTGTGTTGTGCCCTGGGGGCCACCCTGTGTGCAGCTGCAGCTGTGACTGTGGCCTTGGCCGCTGTGAGGCAGTGCTTGTCACTCCCTCGCTGCTCTCGTGCCTTCTGCCCAGCACTCACCTGGAGGCGCACCCTGCGTGCCTTCCCCACTGCACCCTCTCTGGGCAGGCATGCGCTCCTGGATCCCACATCTGGCCTGGCCCTGTGCGCTGCAAGCCCCCCTTGCCATCCCTCACAGGCATCTTTCTCTGCATCAGCTTCACTCTTTAGGGAGTTCAGTTACTTCCTGATCCTGATCCTGGCCTCAACCTATGTGTTGGGAGCTCCTGGCTTCCTCAGGGCGAGGGGTCATGTGGACATCGATAGGCAGCTGTGGTTGGGGCCTATCATCTCCCGAGGCCTGGCCCAGGAAACCCACACTTGGGGTGGCCCATTCAACAATGGGTGAGGGTGGGGCTGAGCATCCTGCCTGGTGGGGGTCTGAGGGCACTGATGCTAAGTGCGGGACCAGGGCCTCCTCAGGGAGCTCCCACCTCAAGCCTGCAACTTGGCAGTGGAAATTTATTATAAAATACCCTCAGCTGGCAACACAGCAGGCCCAAGCCAACATCTCCCGTAGGCCTTGGACAGCCAGGACTCTGGCTGGCCCCCAGAGTCACCGTCCTGTGATGACACACTCCACAAAAGGAAACACCAACCTTGTGGTCCTTGGGCCATGATTTGCTGGTCCTCAGAGGCCCTTGAGGTTTCAGGTCAAGGCTGGGGCCCGATGCTCACCTCCCTGCCCGCCCTCCTTGTCTCCCGGGAGGGGAGTGGGTGAGTCACGCGCATGGGTAGAGCGACCAGAGGCTGATCCGCTGATCCTTGGAGCCCGCGGCCAACAAGCCATCGGCGGCGAAGGCCACGCACTGGACGGCGGCACTGTGGAAGGCCAGCACGGCCAGCGGCTGCATCGTCCGCCAGTGGAACACGCGGATGCGGTGGTCCCAGCCTGCGGTGGCCAGGATCTTGCGGTCTGGCCGGATGGTGATCTCGGCGATCCCGGGATTGGTGAGTTCATGAGTCCCACGCACCTGTGAGAGTGAGGAGAGGCGTTAGGCCACTGCTTAAGCCCGTGAGGCAGTGCTGTCCCCGGCGCCCCACCTGCAGCTGGAACCAGGAGAGACGCAGGCCCACAGGCCCGGGACGTGAGGGGCACACGCTCCCGCACAGCTGACCTCCTACTCTTCCTAAGACCACGATGGGGGACTCCAGCCCTCCCCTCAGACTGGTCTTCGGCCCTGCCCTGCTGCTCCTTGCACCAGCTCTGACCGACTCCTTCCCCAGTCAGAGAGCAGCAGAGAGACAGGGATGTCCCAGCTGTAGGAGAGGGGCTGGATCCTGGGGCCCCTCACCCTGGGGAAGACACTGCACCCTAGTGCCTAGTGAGAGGCCACGTCCTGGCCTTGACGGCAGCAGAACGCTGGCACTTCTCCCAAGAGAACCTCACAACCACCCCAAAGCTGATGAGGATGAGAAATACAAACTCCATCTTCAGCAAAACCATGAGGTATGTGAACCCCCAAGCTCAACAGGGCTGGGAGCGCTGCCAAGAGCGAGACCCAGTGGGGGGTTGGCAGGATGAGGCGGGGACAAGGGGGAGACGCCCTGGAGGCGGCAGGAACCACACAGTGCACCTTGCCCGGTGGGGGCAACATCCTCGGCTGGGTTCTGAGAGGGGGTGGGGCACTGCACAAGACCCGGAGCCACACAGGCAGATCCTATGTGCACGGGGCTGTCGGGGCGCTGGCCTCTTCCTGGGCCGAGTGTCCCACACTCGGCGCTGGGTGCGCAGGAAGCCTCCTGCCCCGGCCCCTCCCTGACATTCTTCGCCTGCAACAAGCAGGGAGCTGGGGAGTTGGGGGATTAGCGCTGCCTCTGTGGCCACAGCACTTCTTGGTTCCACAGGGCGACATGTCCCATGTGCTGCAGGAAGTTTGGCACCTCTGTGCCCACACACTGAATGACAGAGGCACTTTGCCATCATGATGACAAGAAACAAGGGCTACTTCCTGCCACACCAGCCCCATGCACTGTGAGCTTTCCGTCAGCACCCTCTTCTCTAAGGGCCTCCCGATGGGGGCCACGCTGCCCTCAGTTGCGAATCACACATCTCTGCAAAGACAGCACAAGGAAAAAGGAAGAAGAAACAGGAAAAAACAATGGCAACATTCAGCTGAGGCCAATGGAAAGTGTCACCAAGCAATGCTGTCATAAATTAACAAAAGAAAACTTCATGAATTAAGCTCTGGCTCTGCGTCCCGTCTGTAAAACAAGAACCCAAAGCAGAAGAACGCGGAGGAGGAAAGCTGACCTGGCAGAGCTCAGGGGAGAACGGGAAGAAAACTCAAAGCAATGAAGGAGAATCAGCAGCAGCAGCGACTCTTAACGGGACAGCCAGGGACACAAAGGGCAGGAATGATGAAGAGTGAGCAGAATGGGCTGGGCGTGGTGGCTCACGCCTGTAATCCTGGCAGTTTGGGCGTGGTGGCTCACGCCTGTAATCCTGGCAGTTTGGGCGTGGTGGCTCACGCCTGTAATCCCGGCAGTTTGGGCGTGGTGGCTCATGCCTGTAATCCCAGCAGTTTGGGAGGCTGAGGTGGGAGGATTGCTTGAGTCCAAGAGTTTGAGACCAGCCTGAGTAAAACAGCATGACCTCCATCTCTATAAGAATTTTTTAAAAAATTAGCTGGAGGTGGTGGCATGTGCCTGTAATCCCAGCTACTCAGGAGATTGAGGCAGGAGAATCAGCTAAGCCCAGGAGATGGAGGCTGCAGTGAGCTGAGATCACTGCCACTGCACTCCTGTCTGGGCAACAGAGTGAGACCCTGTCTCAAAAAAAAAAAAAAAAAAAGATACGCTCTAATAAAGTTATTGGACTTCATAGCTAAAAAACTTTCGATGGCCAGACAAAAAGACCGTGTTGATGATGAGGGTGCCGTTTAGGCCGTCCTCAGAATGTTCCGCAGCCACATGGGTGCCAAGGGATGATGGGGTGATGCCTGCAAAGGCTGAGAAGGAAAGCAAGGTCCAAACATTTTATATCCAGCCAAACTGTCGCTCAACTATAAAAACAACAGACCAACATTTCTGAACATGTAAGAACTCAGAGAATCCTGCAGCCATAAGCTGTTCTTGAAGGACTAGGAGATTAACTCCAGTCTCATAAGAGATAACTGGAGAACTGCTGCAAATGGTCTGGCAGGGAGCACTGGACCCACTTGCCTATAGGATTAGCTCTAAGACAATATGGGGATTATGGCTGTGAAACCGGTTATATAACTCACAGAAATATGGGAGGCACTAAGAGAGATAGGATGGTTGTTAAGTTCACTGATTTAGCTCAGTTTTTGCCCTTAGGGGCCAAAGATATAATAGTCAACCTCATCCCCGAGAGATTATCTGAGCTCCCCAACCATAAGTAATGACAAAAATAGCATCATTTCCTTCTCCTATCCCACCTCACTGTAGGTGCCTTTGTTTCCTAGTATTTCCCTTGTATATCTGCATAAAGTTAAAAAAAGATCTAAATATACTCAACAGGCTGAGTGTGGTGGCTCATGCTTGTAATCCCAGCTACTTGGGAGGCAAAGACAGGAGGATTGCTTGAGGCTGGGAGTTTGAGGCTGTCATAAGCTAAGATCACACCACTGCACTCCAGCCTGGGCAACAGAGTGAGACCCTGTCTTTTAAAAACATTACAAATTAGCCAGGCATGGTTGTGTAGTCCCAGCTACTTGGGAGGCTGAGGTTGGAGGATCATTTGAGTCTAGGTTTATGATTGAATTTCAAAGTGAAATCCAAATCTGTGCTATGTACAAGGGAGATTCCAAAGGAACTCTTGGCAAAGATATACTGGGAAAATGCAAACAAGAAGAACAGGGTAATCTGAATAACAGGAACATTTGAATTTAGGGCCAAAGCATTAGGTAAGGTTATATAAAATACTTAACAATGATAAAGAGTACAATTCCCAGCGAACAGCTATATAATCCCAGCACTTTGGGAGGCCAAGGCAGGAGGACTGCCCGAGCCCAGGAGTTCAAGACCAGCCTGGGCAACATATAGAGATCCTGTCTTTACAAAAAAATTTTTTAATTAGCCATGCATGCTGGCATACACCTGTAGTCCCAGCTTCTTGGGAGGCTGAGGTGGAAGGATTGCTTAACCCAGGAGTTTGAGGCTGCAGTGAGCTATGATCACACCACTGCACTCCAGCCTGGGTGACAGAGCAAGACCTTGTGCCCCCCACCCACCCAAAATAACTGTAAATATCTGTTTAGCCAATAAACTGACATATCATCCATAAAGTAAGAACAATAGGAAAGTGGCTATAATTGAGTAACTGGTACCAGACTAGTCCTCTTGATGCAAACAACCATAAAAAGTGGACAAAATACACAAGGCAACTGTTTACAGGCAGGAAACACTAGGCAGAGAAGGGGAGCTGATGAGGTGGGCCTCCCAAATGCCCCCACAGCTCTCTGCCTCGAGACAATGCCCTCGGCATGAAGTCCACGCAGAACATAGTGGTCACATTAAGCTGAGGAGGCAAAGATCAGAATCTAGAGCAGTCAGAGGGCTGAAATCCATGGGGCAAGGCAAAGGAACGGAGGGAGCTGAAGACTGTGTGAGGGGTCCCTATGAGTCTTGCGTGAGGGCTGGACTGCGCATGCTCACGGTGGACTCCACAGGGCTAACCAGAGCTGCAGAGTTAAACAGAACAGGTTCAAGAGGTCAACACTGCTGGGGGTCCAGTCAGCCTGAGTGCAAAGACTGTGTGACAGCCTGAGACCAGCTGAGCTACCAGAACGGCATCACTTCAGGAACAGGATTCTGTCTTAGAGTATGGCCTACCCTAGATCTACCAGAACAAAACTTGAAACCAAGCCCTGACAAGGTCTGCAGGAGAGGCAGAGTTTGGAAGTTGAGTTCCACCCCACTTAACAAGCCTGGGAATGAACTTTGCACAGACCTGCCCTAACAAAGCCAAAAGCCAAGCCTGCACAAGCTCAAGGTGAACAGTCAGTCACTGAACTGCACACCAGAATGAAAGCAAACACTCTTCAGAGCAAAATAACAGAACCCAGAGATTCAGCATGTATCGTTTACCATGTCTGGCACACAAACAGCAAATTACTAGACGTGCTAAGAAGCAGGAATATATGACCCATAGTCAAGGGGAAAAAGCAGTTAATAGAAACTGACCCCAAAATGGCAGAGATGTTGAACATATCAGATAAAGACTTTAAAGAAACTACTTAAATGTGTTCAAAAAAATGAAAGGAAAATGTATTCAAATAATTACCCAAAAAATTGTCTTCAATGAGCAAATAGGAACTATTAGCAGAGAAATGGAAATTATAAAAAAGAATCATAATAGAAAATATAGAACTGGAAAGCTCAATACTGAAATGAAAAATGTATCAAATAGGCTTAACAGCAGATTGGAAATATATTTATTTTTAAAGTCAGTGAACTAGAAGACAGATCAACAGACATTGCCCAATCTGAAGAGGAGGGAGAAAAATGACTGAACCAAAACAAACAGCGCCTCAGGGGGCCATGGGATGCTATCAAACTGCGTAACTCACAGAAGCCCCAGAAGGAGGAGAAAGTGAAAATGGTCAAGAAAAAAGTGGCTGGATATTTCCCAATTTTAATGAGAAACATGAATATATAGACGAAAAGCTCACAGAACCCAATCAGGACAGGAAAAAAAATCTGTCTAGGCACATGATAGTCAAACTGCTGAAAACCACAGATTAAAAAAAAAAATCTTGAAAGCGGCCATGGTGCAAGACATATTACATGCATGGAAACGATAGGATACCATGAGTTCTCATCAGAAACAAGGAACAACATCTTTACAGGGCACGAGGAAAAATAAAACTATCATTCCCAAGTTCCATAGCCAGGATTCTGTAAAAAGGAGGGTGATGAAGACATTTTTTAGATAAATAAAAGCTAGAGAATTTTTTGCCAGCAGGATTGCACTACAAAAAAATGTAAGAAGCTCCTTGGGTCTATAGGA